ACTTGTGCTCCCTCTTCAGCTCAGCCACAGTGTGTCACAGTCCGGAGGGTTGGACAGAGGGTTGGAAGGGTCTGACCCCCTGCCACTCGCCCCGTCTGGGTCGTCTAATAAACCCACCCCTGCTGTGGTTAGAGGCTTGTAAAGACGGATCACATTTCCATTTCAGTTGCTCATCCGCTCACACACACATACATACACACACACACAAACACACACACACACACACACACACACACTGACACACACCTCTATTAATCCCCCCCTTCCCCCCTTATTGCCCTGTGCCTTTTGTCCAAAAGGCTGGCGTCAAAGGAGGAGATAAATGAGGTGCTGCGTGGCAATTTTCAGAGCAGCGGTGGAGGGTGTGCAGCCTCAACAGCTCAGGGGTGTGTCTGCAAGACTTGGAAGAAGAAAGAAAGAATCATATTGGTTTGTTTTAATGCATCTTTGATAGAGAAAATGTGTGCTTGTGTCGTTGGCGTGTCGCCTCATTTGTGAATTCGCTGGAGCGAGAGCGAGATCATGCGTCTCCAGGCATCTGTTGCATTTCATTAGCAGCTTTTAGAATTACCTCAGTGGATTTCTCTCTCTCTCTCTCTCCCTCTCTCTCTCTCTCACACACACACACACACACACACACTCACATATGACAAGCTTCATCCTATTCCATCCACCCCGATAATCCCTTTTATCTTGGCAGCTATTCAGCACCTAAAGGCCAATGCCACTGAATAATGATGTGGTCGTATCTACTCCTCATTCACTCTAATGCTAATCTTCATCTCAAGGTGACAATGATAGAAAGATTTTATGCATGCAGGCGTTCGACGCTGAATAAATCTAATCAGAGGTGTGTGGTATCTGCTCGTCTGAGCGCCGTTAATATTTCCATTTCGCTTTTTAAAGAAGAGAAAGCTCCGCTTTTTCGAGCGTAGTATCAATTTAGCCGCAGAGCAGGAGTCAAAATGACGCACACGCATGTTCACGCACACACAGACACACCCTTCGTTAGCCCTCTCATTTCACGGCACTGTCCATGCTCTTCGTCCTCAAATTCCCTTAGTTCAACAGTTCACCCCCCGCCCCCCCGCCCCATCCCTTCATTAGTGTTTGCCAAGAAGGTCACTTCTAATGTGAGTGACAATCCCTGAAATCATCCCAACAATCCATCTCTCTCGTTCACGCTCCGCGCCTCCATTTACATATTTGGATGACACGCCTGGCTGGTTTTGTTTAATCACTGTAAATTGCCCCGCCGCACAATTACCGAAGTCGGTTTTGTTTTAGAATTTTATTATTAGCTGTGCGGCCGGCGCTGTCACAAAGCTAATCAGTCCGAGACAATGACAGAACGCGTCTCTGTGCTGGAGTGAGGGGAATAAAAGTGCTTTGTCAGGAATGTGGAGACTAAAAAAATGTCTCTGTGTGGAATTCAGCTCCGTTCATTACATTTCAAATGAACTTGATGTTTTGCTCGCGAAGCATTGTGGCAAAAACACACATGACCGTTCGCGTGGTGTTAGAAAAGTGTTTGTTGTCACCCTCAGAGGACAGCTGTAGCTGCGGTTTCTTTTGGAAGCTGCAGTTATGTTTGAGCGATGGACGAAGTTCTGGGTGACACACTTCCTCTTTTCCAGGAGCAGAGGGAGCGAAGTAGAATCGAAATTGAAAGATTCATCTTGTGTAAGGAAGACGCAACCAAGTGAGTCTGTGAAAGCTGTTATTCAGCAGGGGGAAAGAGAGAAGTGGAACTGCAGTTGAAAGGTTTTAAGTGTTTGAGGGGGAGAGAGTGAATATTTGTTCCATACAGTGTGTTAGCGGATCACACAGACTCACATTGTTAAGCTTCGTTCAACGAACACTCACAGAATCAAACGATTTAAATGCAGAGCAACGGCCTCAGGCACTGGCAGAAAGGACAATAATAGGGTAGATAAACTAGGGAGAAGAAGGGAAAAGGCTCACTGGAGACAAAAAAAAAAAGGCATAATGAGACAAATATAAGCTCATTTGTTTTTAATGTGAATTTACCATGCTCTCTTTGTCACTAAACTATATTTTCCAAGCTGTAGTGGAGCAAAATGCCAGCGGTGATCCAGCCTCGGCTTTGAGTTCATCCAATTTGAATACAGTAGTTTCTGGTTCAGCTGTGCTTTCTGAGCACGTTTCAGAGGAACATCTGCAGGCCTCCGAAGAATTCTGGGTCAGCGGCGTCCTCGAAAAAAACCGTGAGAGGAGGGCAGGAAATGTATCTTTCCCATGGGCCTGAGCGACATTAACTAGAGGCAGATTTTACAGACGCGCACACATGTTTACATAATCCCTGTACGTACACACACAGAGCCTCTGCCGACTGTAATGGCTCTGCGAGGTCGGCACCGGACATGACACAGAAACGCTCACGGAGAGGGAGAGCTTTGTCATTTACGGGTGAAGACAGAGGACACATGTTGCTGCTTCTGCAGCCTTGCAGCTGGTCGGGATTCAAGAGGAGAGAAGATGGAGGTTGAATTCTTGAAACTAGATCCTCCAGTTAACCACGAGACCACCAGGACATCATGTAAAATGTGGTTGCGAAGGATTTATCATAAAATAGACAAGTACAGTAACTGGGGATTGTAGTTCCCCTCTTAAATATGTTTTCATCGCAGTACAATACAGAGAAAACACAAGCGCAACAACAAGGAAGAACAGAGAATTAACACATGCAGATGTTGCGCGGAGCTTTTTCAATCATGAACATTCATCTGTTCGGGGGAAAATGCTTCATATTTCCTTAATACATCCCCAGTGAGAGTTCAATATAAATGCTGCTTCGAGCAGATGCTGCCACTGTATCAAGAGAGAGAAATGATTGCAGTCCTGCGTTTGGATGAAGATATAACACAGATATCTGTAATATGGGGGGGGGGGGCTTCGCTAAATTATGCAGTTTCAATTTCCCCATTTAGGGAGGATAGATCAATTTCTCATGCTAAAACCATTAACCCTGAGGAAAGACAGTGTTACCAAGGCAACGCGGATTATGTCGCTTGATCAGAAGCACCTGTTTTCATGCTCGTCCAGACATAGGCTCAAACGCAGAGACAGTGATTAGTAAATGAGACATTGCAGGGACTGACCAGCATTAGATATACAGCAAACCAGCAGCGTCAGTCCTCCAGCTTCATACACACACACACACACACACACACACACACACACACACACACACACACACACACACACCTACATTCCTCATTTCTCAACTTGACACTTGTAGGTTTTTTTTTTCCTACATTCAATTCAAGAGATGCACCTGTGTCTCTGCATGTGGACGGACTGTATCGCAGTGTCTCAGTTCAGGGCAGGGTCCCTCTTGCACCGCAGCCTGTGGGGAGTTGTGTTTCACCAACCCTCCCTGGGGATGGGTGTGTGCAAGGATGTATGCGTCACTATGACTATGTAGGCCTGTGTGTGCTTTCTGCTTTTTCTTTCTGTTTCCTTTTCTGCCTCTCTTTCTCTGTGTTTATTCCTGTGGTTGTCCTCTCTCTCTCTCTCGCTCTCTCTCTTTCTCGCTGAATTCCTGTGGATGCAGTATGGCTTCTGTACATCTTTATTACCCTCCCTCTCTTTCTCTCGTGCTCTTCCCTTTTCTCCTCTCTTGGCAGCAGTCGCCTGTTCCTTCTTCTTCTCCCCTCCCCCATTTCCTCCACCCCCACCGTCCAAATGGCCCTCCGGTCAGGACACAAGATGGTCAGTGGTGTGTGTATGTGTGTGTGTGTGTGTGTGTGTGTGTGTGTGTGTGTGTGTGTTATGTGGTGCGTTCAGCACCACATAACACAAATGCACAAATAGTCTTAAAAAAGACTATTTGTGCATTTAAAAAGGTATCGTATGTATGTGCAGGAATATGTATCATGTTTATCACTATCATAGTCTGTTGATGTGCATTTATATGCTTTTGTGCATGCATGTTTAACTGTTTATCCATATATCACCTAACCCCAGCTCTAGTCATGCTCATGTCATGATATTTGGGTGATATTAGTTGGCTGTGATCAATTAGGAGGCATTCTCCCTCTGTCACCCACTAGCTGGCTATCAATGGAACGAGCGATGGAGAGGACAGTGTGGGATAGAGCTTGTTAAAAGAGGCTTTAATTTTTCTTTGTGTGTTTCAGTGAAATAGTTGTATACCCAGTTTGGTCCAAAGTGTCTACCACAAAGTGACCTCACTACAGAGACCCTGCAGAGCGCTGTCTAGTTGTTTTGGGAGCAAAAAAGTCTTTGGGTTGTGCTTCGTCCCTGCAGAACCAGTACCACCAGCGTGGTACAGGTGAGCGTGTGTGTGTGTGTGTCACTAAATGTGCAGTGTGTGTAGGTATGAATCGATGTTTCTGCTGGCCAGAAGAATCGCTGAAAACTATTCAAAGTTGCGCTTTTGCATACAATGCATTTGTGACAGGGAATCCTAGTTCATTTCCCCAAACAGTGCACAAAGAGGAGTCTCTGCAAACGAAGCAGAAATCCTCATTGTGTGGAATAAACTCCCGTCATCACTTTCTTCCTAACTCCTTTTTTAATTTTAGAAATGTTGCTTTGAGCTTCCTGCAGTGCTCCACACAGGCATGATTTTTGTAAAGAAAGTTGAGCCCCCCCCCCCCCGTCTAAAAACTGGATTATTTATTATTGTGGAAATGCCTTTGGCTCTCCTATGAGAAGCTTCTCGGGGCTCATTTCTCAGCAGCCATCCAGCTGTAAACCTTCCCCCATCTGCATGCACCCAGAGGACCCTGCAAAGGGAGGTGTCACACAGCCACACAGGCATCAACAGAAGCTGAAGCACAGCTTTGCATGTGGATGTTAATACTCTCCCCCCCCCCCCCCCCCCCCACTGTCTTTCACTGCTGTCCAACAGCTTGTCCAACGAATGAAACTCCCACACGCTTCATTGCAGTGTCAGGTAGGGTCTCTGCCTGTAGAGTAGAAGGGCTCAGGCTGGATTCCTTGCCTCTTTGGCTCTAGTTTCTTGCATGGTGGGTTATGCCTTGATGGGGCTTGTGGTTAGTCTCGGGGTCTGTGTGTGTGTACAGCTGGCTGAGGGCAGAATTTGGACTTCTGCTTTTAATTCCCAAAACACATTCCTTTTCGAATGGCTTTTCCAGTCAGTTATTTTCTATGGCATGAAACAGAAGACAGCCACACTGATTGTGTCTCCTCCAAGGCTTCTGTTTTCTTTCATCAAAGCCTGGAAGCGCCGGGAGACAGAGAATGACAGCATAAGAGAGTACAGTTGTAGTCCTTGGCTTGCTGTCTTGTATCACATGGTGGTGGCCTGGAAGGAGTTTTCCACTGTGAAAAAGATACTCAGAACTTTTATATGTGGTGTTTATCAAGCGCTCAGGAATGAAGTGTGTCCTCACGGGGAAGAATGGATGGTTTACTCCTTCACATATTTTCTACTCAGCAGGGAAGTATGTCAGCAATGTTTTTTCCAGAGCTGGATCTGTGTTTGTACTTAACAGGTTCTTCATACCATTTGAGTTAAGATGGTGGAGTCTGAGTTTGTTTTTTTGTTTTTTAATGACATAAAATGTGGCAGAGCAGAGCAGGAGACGGGGAATACTGGAATGTGCTGGAGCTCTCTGCCTGACAGAGAGCAAACGCAATGCTACGTGAAAGTAAGCCTATGTAATATTTGCTCAACAGTGGCATTTACAGGATAATGTTAACAGTGAAACAGCGGGATAAGTAGTGTCACAAAGTCAAGGAACTGACTTAGTAATGTCAGCTAAACTGTGATATCTATCCTCAGTTTGCTAATATTAGCTGACATTAGCGACCTGGTGACACCGGAATAAATAAGACTGTCTCAGCAAAACCCCTGAATGTTCTGGACTGAGCAAGGGAGCTTTATATTGCTTAAGATTTTAACTTTCATTTAAAAGAGGAAGAATTAAAGATTTTTTTTTTTTTTGTTCTTTCGAAAGTGACATAGTCTTGCTTTAAAGCTTTTGTGCTACGTTAAGATACTTCTCTGTGCAATAAAGTTAGCAAAGCAGGCCACATGTAGCAGAAAATTGTCATGGTAACTGTTGAAGCTGTTTGAGTTTAAGTTGATAATAAATCAGTTAGTGGTTTGACAGACTTTCCAGTTTTGATGGTGTCAAAATCAGTATATCGTCACTGGTTACAGCTTCATGTACTGTATATGAAGATCTGCTTGTGTTTCAGTTTTTCATGTCATTTTAAATGTGACACAGTTTTTTTGCAGTAAATAAATAAACAATGAATCTAGGGACTGGATTGGACCCGATTAAGTGGTTTGGGTATCGGCCATGACAAACCCGATTCACGTCAAGTACAGTGTTCTTGTTAATGCCATTATGAAATTGTGTTTCTTTTACTTCTCTTAAGTACCATGACAAACCCTGGCCATGTTGTCTTACATGAAAATGATTCCAATGCGGACTATACAGTGTCGTGTTCAGTTTTTAAAAGAGAGCGTTGGTTTGGGCTGGTACTCTGAGCTGAGGTATCAGTATCAGGAGTGTAAAGAAAGATAGGATCAGAGCATCTCTAGATGAAACGTTACAATAATCTTCACAGCTTCAACATGCAAGTTAATGTGATTTAAATGGTAAAAAAAAAGCCAGTTTTTCTGTATTTTTTGTAATTTTTTTTCTTGCCTGTTCAAACTTAATTCAAGTTCAAACTTTCCCACTGACATAAACTAATCTTGACAAAAAATAAAAATAAAAGTCTCAACACAAAGTCCAGCTTGTTGATTCCAAAGCTTTCGCCCGCATCTCGGGGGTCTTCCTCAGCAGGTGGAATTGCACTGTTGTCATGGAGATGGTCTCTGTCAGAGGCTACAGACCATACTTGAACACAGACAGATGTTACAATCCACCCACCCATATACAAGCACCTGTTATCACATGATGAAATTAACATTCTTATGTCACGGGATAACAAGGAAACCATCTCCATGATAACTGCGTAACCCACATCACCTGAGGAAGGCCATGAAATGTGGTTGAAAGCTTTGGAAACAAAACAGAACAAAATACATACTACAACATACACCCCTCCTGCAGTTTAATAGTTCTCTGTAAGTTGCATTCAAAACATTTCTGTGTTTTTCTGTTACATTTCTTCTTTTTTTTTCTCTCTCTCTACCACCATAAATAGCGCTGATGGCTAGAAGGGAATGTTGCCATGGTGACACAGTGCTATGGCAGGCGGTAATTATTCTGGCTTAAGTGCCAGCGGAGACACACACACATGAGCTGGCCCACTGTGGCAGATAGCGACACCTGGACTCCAGCCACTCAGACGGAACCGGATGAAGAATTTTTCAGGAAAAAAAAAAAAAAAAAAGGCCGCATTTTTTAATCACGTTGAAAAACTAAAATGTGGGAATATGGATCGAAATATAATAGCGTGAAAGTGTATATTCACTTTTACGTACAACACTGGTGTAACGGGAAATGTTCAGACGTTTGAGGGCAAGATTCTTATGATTATAGACTAAGATATATATGATATATATGATACATATATATATATATATATATATATATATATATATATAAGATTATCATGTGTGGTGTGATATGATACAGAGATGATGTCACCTGGTTGTTATCCTCTTAGTTGCATGGGCCGACTGGTCAATAAAGTGGATATTGTGTGTGTCCTATGTAGAAGAAACATGGGAGACAATCTCATAGAAACTGCACATGGGTGAAGTGTGTGTGAGCAGAGAGAGTGTGTGTGTGTGTGTGTGGGTGTTGTGTTGTGTGTGTGTGTGTGTGTGTGTGTGTGTGTGTGTGTGTGTGTGTGTGTGTGTGTGCATGCGGCCGAGAGGTTGCAGACAGCCTGTTGTCCAATATGTTTTTTGATATGGGCATTAAAAAACAAGAGCAAACTCACAGTTCCCTCACCACTCTCCCACTCCCACACTAGCACAGCTTACTTCCAGGCATACACACACACACACACACACACACTTGTAGTCCACACCCTCACAGAGCAACACCATCCACCAAGGATAATATTCAGCTCAGTGCTTTTTTTTATTTCCGCCAAGCAGTAATCCCCCCCTCCCCTTATCTGCTCTCTTCCAGGCGAGGCCAACCTGACTAATCATCCGAGGTGTCAAGGTAAGGTTGTGTTTGCCTCTCACCATCCACTCACACTGATAGCAACATGAGCCCCGGTGTATTTTTCATCCAGGAAAACACAACACGGCGTTCTGACAAAAACAGGAATTCCTCAGTGGCCTTTTGAAGGAGAAGTTAAAATTGTCTTCTTCAGCCTCATCTGGTTTGCCACAAAACTTCCTCGCTGCTAGAAGACGGAGGGCGCTTTCCCCAACTCCCACAATCCCCAGTCACATTAGCATAGGCGAAGCAGACAGACACAATGGAGTTTTTTTCACCACCAGCACAGAATTACACATTTTCTGCACACTCACACACGTACACACACATCGCTCCAGAACAGCAGTTTGGCTCATGCATACGCCAGGAGAAAACAGACAAGGGAAGATGGATTGTCATATTTTTGTCACCGATCCCTGCCAGGTCTGCTGTAGCTGTCTCTTCTGCTGATTGAGAGGAGAAGGGCGTGTGGATAGATAGCCAGAGAGAAACCATTCCTGACTTTGTGCTCCCTGTCAGTCATGTAGTGCGTCACCTTCTCTTTCTGATCACCTTTTCACTCCTGCTCCAAATCCCTCGATCTCTGTCACAGTCACCGCAGTGCCTAAAGTCCTGACATACACACTTTCACAAGCAGCACTCGCACACACACACACACACACACACACACACACAGACAAACAGCGGGATGCCACTCCACATTTATCTGGTTGGAGTTTTTTTTTTTTAGGCTCAGAGACGCACACAATCTCATCCCTGCCACTACCTCCACCCTCCATGACTCACACCCGTAACACCACACAGCCTCCATAAATCACCTGTCATAACATCAGGGCCTCCATCAGTTAGGTGAAACCCAACTTTGGCTGTTAGACGGGGACGTGATGAGGTTGCTTATGCTGTGGGCTGAGCCCAGACACCAGTTGTGGAGTCTCTGGTGTGAGGGCCACTGCAGCAGACTGAGGCAGATGACTGTCTGCAGTGCAGTCTGACGCCGCTCTGTGCTGCCACCTGCTGGCCACATGTGATCACAGGCTGCGGTCGAGCTGCTGGTGAATGATATGATGACCAAAACCAGCAATTGCCTGCGTAGCCAGAGCCTGATAAAGCTCATTTCTCTGTTCCCTGGGACTCCACTGACACCACACCATTGAACAGGATCAGTTTGATTATTCATTATTGTTTCATTATACAGGTTTTTACTGGTGTCAGACTAAAATAATCACATTGTTTCTCATTTCATAGTAGAACTGAAAATGCCAAGTGTCTGTGATGAAGCAGCTGCATTAAAATCAACTCATTTCAGTTTGTTTGCTTGACAGATCAAGTGTAGTTTGAACAGTTCGGCTGACTGTATCCTTCGATAAACTGTCTTTATCCTCCGCCAACAATAGTCATTTAGGAAATGATGAAAAACACACAGATTCTTCCACACATACATATTTAATCTCACTGTAAGGTACTATGATATGCAGTTTTCCACAAACCCCATTTGTTCAAAGCTGGAAGTAATGATCCAACAACATGATCATTTTTGGTCAATTATTTCATTTAATTTCCATGTTTTCTGTTTGATTTTTATTTGAAATGACAATTTTTTTTTCTTTCTTTCTTGTGTTTCCTTAGCCGGTACCTGTCCGATGTCTTCTCCTCCCACAGTGTGATGCGTCATGGCTCCGGTGCTGAGTGGAGTGTGGTGGGGGCCGGAGGCGGGTGTCGTCGGGTCGGGGGCAGCAGCTGCTACCGGGGTCGCGTCGTGGCTGGGGAGTGAGCAGCTGGTCCTGGTCGTCACCCTCAGCACCCTCACTGCCCTGCTGCTGGTCTCTGTGCTGTTGCTGCTGTGTGCTAGCTGCCAGGGGTAAGCACCATCACACACACACACACACATACACACACTAATGACCTATATAATTGTTGTTCTAGGAAACACTCCCATATCTAGAAGAGGTCACGAAAGGCTGACGTGTGTTATGATAATAGTTTCCTGGTTTTATGTAATGATACATCCTGCTGTGCAGACTATCTAAACAGAATCTACTCTTGCTGGAAATGCCAGCTGAGCATGAGAGTGTTGAAAATAGCAGAAATACCTAAGAGTGCGTCCTTGGCAACAGTAATTATAGGTACAAGAATGAGGAACGGTGCCTCTGAGGACAGTAAGGAATGACCGCACGGGTGTTTTGGCATTAATATGTTTATTATGTGTGCTGTCAAAAAGGAATTGTCCACAAAGTGTAACACATACTTTAATATATGAGTATAGAGAATATAAGAATTTACAGATATACAAAACGAGAGATTACTCATATAGTTTCTGCGAGAGATGGCACTGCAGAGATAAAGCTTTAGTGGCCATCAGCACAAACACAGAAACGAAAAGTCTTTGATCAGTCTCTCTGTCCTGCTCAACTACTCAGAGTATAACAGAGATTTTAATGTCATCTTGTGAAAGACAGTGTGGTCTATGGGTATTTGGACAGCTTTGTTTTAGCTCTGTCCTCCAGTCCATCGGATTTGGAATGAAACAATGACAATGCTAACGAGATACCAACTTCCTGCTTTGATTAGAAGGGGCAGAAATTAAATCCAAACGTCCACATCTGATGCTGCATGACGAAACTATTGATTCCTCCAAGAGTAAGAGTAGAGCTTTAATGTCCCTGAGAGCCAATTTGACTTACACATAGACCGCAGTTGATAAATAATACCAATGTTAAAAAAAAAAAAAAAAGTAGTGAACACAGGTACACACTAATGTAATCCAATACAACAGCTCTACCATAACATCCATCTTTATGAAGCTCTTAATGCTAAGTTGTTGGTGACATTTTTGGAAATGTGTAAATTCAATCATGTATTTACTATTGACATCTTGGATAAGGAGGTGTGCTACTGTCCTTCCTTTTTACACACGAGGGGACAGAATATTAGAAACACCTCTCAATAAAATGTGTTCAAGTGGCAAGTACTACACAATCACTATGACGTCAACGCTAAAACATAAAATGTCAACAAGAACTCAACGCTAAAGGGATCATAAAAGAAAATTGCTTTTCAACGTCATTGTTTCGTTTGAGATCCGGTGTGCTGAAGAACACAGGAAAAACAATGAGTATCCACTTTTATATTTATCTCTGTTCTCTCATCTCTCCGCTCCTCTGGTTTTTTAGGCAGAAGAAAGCAGCCAATGGACATCCAGCTGGAGACCATGACAACCTGATGAATGGAGTGAGTCAGACTTTCGAGGTTTATCTTTCTTGCAGTAGGCTGGATCACGCATAAGCTACATTTCTGAAGAGGAATTAAAGGAATATTTTGAAGGGATACTGAAACACCTCACAGATGGCGGCTCTGATGAAAAGGCTGCAGCTGAAAATGATTTTCTAAAATCGAGATTAGGTTTCCAGTTCTGCTTGTTATGTTTGTCATGTGTTTTCGTGAGTGTGCGCGTGTTATCAATGTGACGCAAAGTGTGTTTTGAGTCAGCTTGCCGCACAGTGTGTCAAGCAGATGATTAATTACACCCACACATGCACACATGCACAGTCTCTAAACAAAGGGATAGATGGACAAGGTCGGGGGTTGGTGTCATCTTGGGACTGTGGGAAACTCGAGGAAGAAGAAACTGTCAATTCCAGCGGTGGGAAAATAAATAATTTAATATGAATTCATAAAAAAAAAAAAAACGGTTTACTCAGACTTGTTCTCTTGTTCAAACAGAGGCACCCACGTAGTGTTACAGATGGAAGCACACATAGCAAAGACACACAGTGACGTACAGTCCTCATTCCTCCCAGCATGGGAGTCATGTGATGTGTCTGTAATCAGGCTGTGTAATCACTGGTAAACGAGGCTGTGGATAGAGCTGCCACATTGGCTACATGCCTGAATAACACGTGCACACTCGCACAAGTCTCCACCCTGATGTCCCATGATACACAGACACACACTTACACACACATTCTTTCACATTTGCCTCCTAACCCACTCCCATACCACAGGAACATACACAAAGAAACATGGCCTCCCTGCACTCCTCCTGACTGACAGCCTGCACTTGTTCGCAAGATTGTTCCTAAATTGCAGCCGGTCGCAGATGGGGAAGTGGTTGTTCCTGCTAAGAGAGCACTTGTGGGAAATTCCACTGGCTTTTATTCTTCAGTTTTGTTTTACATTAGTAACATGGTGTGTGTTTCTTTTTCTTTTTTTTTTTAAGATCACTGAAAAGAAAGAATGAAACTAAATTCAGGAAAGCCGAAACACAACAGGCACAACAATGTGAAAAAAAATCCGTATTTATAAAGTTGACCTTTGCACTCTGTAGATATGTAGTACTCATAAAGTGTACATGTCCTCTTGAGCATCGTTTCATGGATATAGATAGTAATCACCGACTCCCATAATACAGATGATTCAGTTACCAAGCAACATTTAAATGTGACAAATGCCTGGCTTACACAGACTAAGTGACATCCACTCACTCTTTTATTCTGTCACTCCCTCTGGGGCTTTGTGTGTGTATGTGTGTGTGTGTGTGTGTGTGTGTGTGTGTGTGTGTGTGTCAGCCTACATGCCTCACTATGCACACACACATCCCTCTGAGCCTTTTTGCATTTGATGGATATCTTCACCCTAACCTTTACGCTGTAGCACAATTGCAGGGTGGTCAGACTGTTTCAGGAGGGACCCATTTAAATGATGAACCATGTCACAGCCTGACAGGTTAAATGGGGGTCTTCGTCTTTGTGGATGAGTAGATTGGCTCTTCCTCGCTCACCCGCAATCAGTCTGACTGTCTGTCTGTGGCCACATCCTAACGCCTCTCACGCCGCCTCTTCATTCACACACGCATTCAACATATGTTAACTTTTTTTTTTAACCTTAAGGGTGAATGTAACCTAAATGAAGCGTCTCATTCGGTCCTTACCCAGACGCATTAAAACACCACATCTCATGTCTCGGACTGTGACGCTCATTTTGGATCCTGAAGAAGTAAAGAAGGAATTTTCCACCTTCGTCGAGAAAACTGAAACAAAAGAAAAACATTAGAGATACTTTGGTCATAAAATAGTTAAAGATTACATCATAGTCACCAACAGTTTTGATAGTAGATGACCACTAGGTGGGGTTGTGGAGCTTCTGATACACAACCTCACTGCTCACACAGGAGGAAAACAACAAACCTAAACAAAGAGAATCTTGACTTACACCAGACGATATGTTTTCACAGTCATTTCTAAGCTGTTAGTAATGAGTGACAGAGTTGCCTATAGAAAGAAGACGGTTAATGTTTAAATCAGACGGTGATAAATCCTGCGTCAATACGGCAGGTGCAGAGCACATCCTGTGTTAATTAGTGTAGTGTCTTTTCAGTGACTATTATTTGGAGTTGAGAGAGTGTTGATTTGAGTGTTTGCTCGCTTGTAGAGCTGATCCCACTCTGATCAAACCCACGGTGTGGATTTTTGCACTATCACAGTTTAATTAGAGCTGCAGAATTTGCCATGTGATTTAGCGAATAGGGAAACAGCTGGAGGGCATGGACTCGGTGTTAAAAAAAAATCTGCTGAAGTGTCCTTGAGCAACACTGAATCCCTGCCAGTTTCAGGGTTATTGCTCTGTAGCTCTGACTTTCCCGCAGAGGGAGGCGAGGTAAAATAGGGAGGAAAATATCCTTGTGGCTACCCATAAAACATCATGCTCTGTGGTTTGAGTCATTTTTTTATTTGACTCTGTCATGTTGCCCTCTTCTGTTAAACTGTTTTCTTCAGTGTTTCATAATAATGAATCAACATGGCATTAAGAACATGAAATTAGAAGTATTTATAAGAGGAGAACACAAACCCATCTACTGAGATGAGGATAAGCAGCAGCGTATCTTCATTAGGCATAAGTCATTTAACAGTTTTGTTTTTCACACTTGCAGAAATTACGCACTTGCATAAATCTTTAGATGTCTTTTCTTGGTGGATAAAAATGTACTCAATGCATATAATTAATCATGCAAAGCATACTGATAATGAGCTTAAAGTAATCAGTAATGTGGTTAGAAAAGCAAAGAAAAGCAGGGGAGTGAGAAAACTGTAATCAGTGCTGCAAATATGAGAGTTGTGTTCCCCAAAATCCTGAAACCCCTGAAAGTAATGTCCCAAATATACTCCTATCTGCTGCTAGCGGCTTTTGGATTGCACAGAGGTGTGAAAGTCATCTACCCTGTGCGAGCTGACAAGTGCAGATGGATTTCTTGGTGTGTGATGTAATTGAAAAAACCAAAGACTGGATTTTTCATGTGCCTTCGTTTTGTCGGGCTCACAGCCTGTGCGTTGAGAACCCAGAGGTGACTAACATCTTGTCCTTTGTCGCACAGGTGTCAGAGAGAGAGACGATCAGCCAATCAGTAGACAGTCCAGCAACTGATATGGCTGTCAGCACCTCGCACAATGGTCCTTTAACCAGCGGTACAAGTAAGCAAAGATAGTTAGCTTAGCTCAGCATGTCATGTCCTCACTGTCCGTGTAGTTAACTGTTGTATCTGCACCATTTGGTATCAATATTAGAGTCATAGCTACACATGTACATGATGATAATAAGAAGAAGATTTGCGTGACAGCTGTTGTTATTCAACATTTTTGACCTCAGCTGTTGTTTTGTTATGAGCATATCTATGTAATGTTCTTAGTCAGAGATTAGTCATTTTACCTGGATGGGTACTTATCATTAATAGATAACAGGAAACAGGAAATAGTGATAGATCTAGGGTTATGAGATCTGTAGTCATCAAAAGGGAAAATAATGACTCATAACAAAACTAATCTGAAGTAAATGTTAAACATTCATCTTGTTCTCATGAAACGAGAAGCTGTTCTCTCACTCTGACTCTCCTTTTTTCTGTGTTCCACTAGTCCTCACAGACACACAGGACACCAGTCCCCATCCGTCAGAGGAGCTGCTTTCCAGCCAATCAGAGCTCAGGTCCTCCAAGTGTCCTCAGGACCGCGAGCTTCCCAGCATCCCTCCCAACAATGCCCTTATCGGGGACGGACCCCCAGCCTCAGGGGACAGCACCTATGAGGTCAATGTTTAAAGTCACCTCACAGCAGCAGAATCACGTTTTTACTTGCACTCAGCTTGAACGTGGCAGTAGAGGAGATTAGAGCTTTGATTGGTTGGCCGGTTGACTGAGTGATTGATTGGATGATCGATTGAGCTTAGGGTGAAAATACAGACAGAAAATTTTAATTTTCCACAAGAGGTTGATGGATTGTTTGAGTTTTCAGATTGAAAACAGAAGCATTAAATATATTTAGCTCATTTAAAGCATATTAAAGAATCCGATGTATGTATCTGTTGTCCAGGTGGTGAAGGAGATCGCAGTGGCGTCACGTGACGTCAGCGTTGAAGACTCCCTGTACGAGACGGTCAAGGAGCTCAAAGACCCCCCCGCGCAGCTTGGCCTCCCTAACGGTACCATCCAGCTGAGCCCCGACGAACCACCCCATCATCCCCCTGCCCTCCTCAACGGCCACCTCAGCCCCTGCACACCTGAGCGAGGGCCCCTGTGCGCAGGGGTGGAGTACGCCTCTGTTGACCTGAATAAGAAGAGCCGTCACAGTGCCGACATGGAGGCCAAAAGGCGCTCTGATAATGCCGCCATGCCTTCTCACAAGCCTCTGGAGGAACCAGAGGAGGACTTACCTCCCCCAGTACCAGAGAAAGTTCTGGATGAAAACGACAACCAGCCGGTGGTGATGAATGGGCTGGCGGGGGCTGGGCTGCACAATGGAGAGGTGAGGATGGTGTGTGTGTGTGTGTGTGTGTGTGTGTGTGTGTGTGTGTGTGTGTATGTATGTGTATGTGTGGTCTCACACCTGTAGATCTTCAAAGCAATTTAATTGCTAAACTGGCCCTTCTTCTCTTCTCTGATTAGTATGACACAGCACTAAGTTCTGTTGGTTGGTTTGACATGATAACTGATGACCAACAAAACCACAAGCCATTTTAGTTTATTCCCACCAGGTTAAAACAATTTTCCTTTTCATATTTCTAGTTGGCCATTCATATGCTCATATAAGTGAAGCCTTTTCCTGTTTAATGTAACATCCATAACACTTGCTAGTTACCGACTGGAAATGGCAAGAGTTAGCATTAGCTCACTAAAATGTTCAGCAATTAGATAGCTACAGTGAAAACCAGAACTTATCTCATATGCCTACAGTACATATTAACATTTTGGCCTTCATTGCTGTCATCTGTCATAACATTAATTATTTTTAAGGAACAGTAGAATGATTTCTGCATAAATATTAGCATGCTAGCTGTCTAGTGGGCTAATGGTAAAAGTCACCTCTTCACTGGCTTTTCAAAGAAATTAAAAAATGACTCTAAACTTAATTAGCATTTGTGTAGCAATGCTATCTTTAATGTTTTGATAAAAATCATCAACTGTGAGTGTTTTAGCAGCATTTAGCAGCATTTCTGGATCTTTTCAGATACTTCAACATCAGTCACGTGATTGGTCCTCGTACATTCTTAGCGCCAACTGGTGTTTTGCAGGTTGAACAGAAACAACACATTTAAGACCATTAATGCATAAAAGTCAAATCAAGCATACACAAAATTTGATAACTTTTCAGAGTACATATAACCATTCATTTATTCTAATATCTCAGTAGGTATCAACATCTTTTTAAGTTATTCCCTTATAAACTTGAGGTAGGTCATCTGCTCGAGAAGAGACAGAGACAATGGAGAACAAAGAAAAAGGGAGATGTATCTCCCACACATTATCATCTGCTAAGCTGCAAGCTCAGTGCTGCTTTAGGGAGAGTGACAGACCGAGGGGAGAAATTCAAGAGGGAGAGAAAGAGAAAACAGTGTAGGAGTGAGGGGAGGAGAAGAGAATGAAAATGGGAGCTGGAGAGGGAAGAGGAGGAGAGAGTAATAGATGAAACAGAGATAGTGACAGAGAGATGATGGGAGATTGACTCAAAAAAAACACTGAAAGGACCGGGAGGCATGAAGGGTGAGGGAGAGAGAGAAAGTCAGGAGTGAGAGACAGCGAGTGAATGGGGGGGGGGGGCACAACCCAGCGGCATATAAATGAAGCCATCTGTAGTGGAGAGGAGTGTATCGAAAAGAAAGAAGGATGATAAAGAAGAAACATTATTAAGGAGAGGAAAAGGGCTGAGAGATGGAGGTGTAAAAGAGCAGAGAATAAAGAGGAGTAAAAGAAAGAAGAGAACAGTTAACTAAAGGAGTGTGGAGGTGAAAAGGAGAGAAGAAGAGTAGTCGAGTGGTATGTGTTGAACAGAGTAGAGCTGCTGCTGCTGCTGCTGCTCTCAGCATGCTGTCTTCCACATGCAGGGATCCATTGGAGACACGCAAACACACACACACACATACACAGACACACACACAAACAAACCAACAAACTAACACACTCTCAGAGCTCGCAACGAATTGCATCAGACTGATGGAAGCTGACAAGCGCACGAACATAAACACCACATTGTCAATCTGCCACAAAGCTGCGTGAAGTGGCAACTGTTCTTCTTTTCTACACTCCTCCCTTAAGTTCTGTTCATATTTGCTTCTTCCCCTTCTCTTATTTTAAAGGATAATTATGCTTTATTGTAACTTTCTGCTCTCCTCTCATTTTTACCCATGCAACTGGCATGGCTCTAAAGACGGCAGTGTTGGTCCGTCAACCACTTTGGTCCAGACTGAAATACCTCAACAACCACTGAATGGATTGATGTTAAGTTTGACACAGATACCCATGGTGCCCAGAGGGTGAATGCCAAAGTTGAACACTTTGTGGATCCGCTGACTTTTTCTCTAGCATTAGCTTGAAGTTGAAAGTTTAGTTTTTTAAGTGAAATGTTTCGACAACTTTTGGATGGACTGCCATCAGTTATAGTTAGTTAGTTAACATTCATGTCCCCATGGCCTTTGTTGATCTTTTCACTTTCCTCATATCAGGCCAGTAATATCAGCATGTTACCATTGTCATTGTGTGTGTGTGTGTGTGTGTGTGTGTGTGTGTGTGTGTGTGTGTGTGTGTGTGTGTGAGCATGCTGATGGTAACATTTATCTCAAAGCACTGCTGTGCCTAAGTAGCCTTATGGAGCTGCTAACATGGCTGTACACTCTGAAGTTTTTGCCATCATCCCGCCGTTGACTGTCATCCCAGATGTAGTTAAGAAGTTACCCAAACTACGGTTGTAAGTATTCATCACAATGTACAGACTGTACAGACAGTCAGTTTTGACCTACAGGTCTTGCTGTAGTTGTGCGTGCACAGTTTTCTGGTACATTGAGGGATTATTACCACAGATACATTCACTGTTGGTTTTACCTTCAAGCACAATGTTTTAGATCATCTGTCTGGCGGATTGTCTGCCTGCTTCTTTTTTTATCCTGGCAGACCTTGTTGTCGTAATGATGCTATATATGTTCCCAGATCTCAGCTTGAGTGAGGACGCTGTTACCTTCACCAGAACTATTCAAATAAAACCCATGTTGTAATAAAGCAGAATTATCCTATAACATACTCCGTCCTCTTGGTTCTCTTTTCCTTTGTTCATCTCCTCCACCTCTCCTTATTTCTCTTCTCTTCGTTTAGTCTCATCTCCCTGTTCCTTTGTCCCTGGTGTTGTAGCCAATTAGTTAATCACTGTAGCTCATGTGGGCAGCAGGCGAGTCGAGCCTCATCTGACCCCTGTATCCATGATGAAATCTTGATCTGCTGAGCTACAATATCTGCTGAAAAGTGTATTCATTTATATATGCACCCACATGTACCTTGTTGGTGTGTGTAGTCAGCATTAATTCTATTATTTCACCCCCCCACCCCCCTTATTACACACACACACGCACACACACACACACACACACACACACACACACACACAAACCGAGATGTGTGTGTTTACATATATTCTGCTACACATAGACTCCCCGGGGCTGATTTAAGGTTAACCCTGGATGTTCCCGGCTCCCTGTGGTTTACGCCCGTGTATGACCAGGAGCCGTCGGTGATTTGTCTTGTCAGACCAAGTGTGTGTATGTGTGTCTGAGCGTAGTGAGCGCCAGCTGGCCACCATCACTATGACAGTTAGTCTGGCTTCATGATGGATGATATGGGCTACAGAGCTACATCTCCGTCTCTCTCTCTCCTTCTCTCACACACACACACACACACACACACCCACACACACACACACACACACACACCCACACACACACACACACACACACACCCACACACACACACACACACACACACCCACACACACACACACACACACACACCCACACACACACACACACACACACACCCACACACACACACACACACACACACCCACACACACACACACACACACACACCCACACACACACACACACACACACACATATGTATATATATATATATCAGTATACAGTCATCTTGTGCATATACACTGGAGTGCTTGTATGTAAATGTCTGAGAGGAATCTCCTCCAGTGGCAGCTAGGTAAGTGCTGCTCACACACACATACACACACATGCACACACAAAGGCAGGTTTTCTCATATACACACATTTTTCCATACGAACATCTGGTTTCTAGTTTAACATTTCACTGCAGACACACACACACGAACACTCACACAGTCGTTTTGTGACCTTTTATTCACAGTTTCTCTGATCCTGTGCAGTTGTACAGTTATTGAACCGTCATAAACAGCAGTAACACTTGTTTGCAGTCATTTGACTGCGTGTCGCCTGTGGGCTTTTCATATGAGGTGCAGGAAATGAATTTGACCCAGCCAATGGGCCACTGGGATATACACTGGGGACATGGTGCTGGTAAACTGCGATATTTAGCTTGTCAGCAGCACTGTTGTGCTGCCTGTCGGAACCGGGAATCACTATTGTTAGATAGAGGATTTCAGTATGTAATATATCTACATGTGTAAGTGTGTGTTTGAATTTGTGTTGATATGGTTTATATAGTTTGCACATCATCTTCAATTTGTTTGGATTTGAGCGTATGCAAGACAGGAAACACAGATAATCTGAGTTGAGATATTAATACTGATTTACATATGCCTATGTCAACATGCACGTCAGCTCGGCTGACACACTGACACCTGAGCTGCCCATCTTCTAAGGCGACTGTAATCAGCTTACTGTCATACTTGTGTGTCCTGCATGTCATTGTATCTCCTACGCACACATAAACACGTTGCTATAATCTTCTCTCACACACACGCAAATACATTACATCTTATTGTAGCACGTCAGAATATTGAAAACAAACACACTGTCCACATGCTGATATAGGTCTTGATATAATTTTGATATGCATTAAATACATTTTCTCAGACTTGGATTTAATGCCCATATGCATCAAACCCAGGTGGTGATTTCTGAGTATGTGACTGACTAGAAGAAAATTGCTCTGATACTTGAAATTAAAAGAACAAGTATTGTGCGACACATGCAGAGGTGCAGTGACTGGGCCAAATGCTTTATATGAAGTCTCCCTTTAGGTCACTCTGCCTAATTGGTTGGCTAATTAAAGCGATATGAAAAAGGCATCAGCTGCACTGTAGAGTGTGTGTCGGATCTATAAATGTAATCATGTCTCCAAACATGCGTTATCCATAAAGTAATCATATTGATTAACGCTCTTTGAGGAAAATAGCAGAGAAACATGTATCCACATGAAGGTACTATGACACACAGCGGGGGTGGACGGTTTGATGTATGATCTCTGTGGGCAGTTTTTCATTTAGTATAGAAGTGTAACTTGTGTGGTAATGTGCCCTTGACAGCCACCAGGCGCTATAGCTCAACAAGTGAACAGCTTTCCCTTTCCTTTTTTTTAAATGCATCAGCATTAACCTTGGTAACTCCAACCAAGGACGTCATAAATCTGAATTTATTCCTTTTATCAAGTCAGAAAAGAACACAAAAAGCAATGTTTTCCTCTTAGAGATGTGCATGAAATTTTCACGTACTATGAACTATTTAGTCACCGCTGGCAGGGGTATTGAGGTTCTTGTTAGACTCCTTAGGTGTTTGGCACTGCTGTCAGATGTGCTTTGTTGATTAATGGCTCCCTCATCGATCATAAAGCGGAGTGGACAGAGGCTGTGCACAAAAACATCAAACTCTCTGTCACCGCTTATTGACTTTCACTCAATAATTTTCTTAATGAATGGGTGGTTATAAACAACATTAGCTTTACATGTATCGCAGCCGAAACGGCAAATGCAGAGCCTGTTTGTCTCCCACTGCTAGTTTACAAGTTCACTTTATTGATCGCTTACCAAGCTCTCTCTTAAGACATACACAGAGATTCTCCACTGGTGTTTATGTTTTTGAGAACTGATCAATAGTTTGCCAGCATGTTTTAGTGATGCAGATCAATAAGAACTGCCACCATACCTTAATTGCATTTCCCTCAAAGTTTTTGTTCCTGTGTTACAGCTTGCTGCTTTTGTTGATAAGAGAAACTGTTTAAACTCTACAGATTGGTGCTTTTAATTTTTACAACAGGAGGATGCCACCAAATTCTTCAAAATAAAACCGTATGACAACTGTTCAAATGTTCCTAACAGACGCTTTTAGTTGAAGCTTTGGGAGTGTTTTAAACATCTGATTCTGCACTCTTTTCTTTTCACACACAGGCTGCCATATCTAAATCTATCTTTTTGTTCTTTTTTCCTCCAGTTACACTCCCCTCTGTCTCCTGCACCAAGGTTCGAAAACCACATTCTATCAGACAATGAGGTAAGTGTGTGTTAAGCTCCCTTATTCCCCAAACTGTCTTTTCCAGTCCCGAGACAGCAGCACTTTACACTGTGAATGCCAAAGCTCCAAGTACCGGAAAGATAAAAAAGGAAAAAAAAAAAAAAAAAAAAAAAAAAAAGAACAGTGGAAACTGGTAGACTAGTCACAGAACATCAGACAATACGCTATGAGGGAAAAACCCTGCAGGGGTCTTTTGATATGAACGCATCGGTGACTGTTTCTTTTTGTGTTCTCATTCCTGTTATCTCATTAAATGTAGTTACATTCACCACAATTTTAAACAATAACCCAAACAAGGGCAACTCACGTGAACAGTGTGTCTCTTCTGTGTCCCTCAGTCAGCCGTGTACTCTACAGTCAACAAAACAAACTGTGACGATGCTGTGAACGAGGAAGACAAAGAGCACGACTACAGCAGCATCGCAGAGATCAAAGGCCTGGTCCCGGCCTCTTCCTCCAGTGACCTCTACGCCACTGTCCGAGATATCTACGCCCAGCCAGACGAGCCCCAGATGGAGGAAGACCCAAACTTGGACAGCACAGATCCCGGCTACGAAACCATCCGCATCCCAAAGACTAGTAGCTCGGGTGAAGACCACAGGGCTGGGCTGGGAGCAGAGGGGTCAGACACTGCCAAAGCAGAGCCTGACTATGAGAGCGTCGGAGAGCTGGGTCTGAGCCGGGAAACATCCCGCCTCTGAGTTTTTCTCCCGTCATCATCTTCATTTGTGGCGGTCTTGGTAGAAGCTTCCTATCTGAGTTCCTGCAGTGCTTTGAACCTGCTACCAAGCATGCTTTTGGTGCATGACTTGGGGAAAACAGCAGAAAACGGCTCACCACACCGCATCCATCATCAATGCATGAGTGTCCTTTTTACAGCTTGGGTACGTTTCATCATATCTGAACTTTTAATTTATCACCCAGGGTCAATGTCATCGGTACTGTTAGTCCTACAAGTAAATGAACTGTAGTACCTCAGTCACTTGGCATTAATCATGTGGAAGATTGCACTTTGGATCATCATTAAATTCCTCTTTTTCATCTCTGCTGACAATGCATATCATGAACACTTGATTGTGAAAACAGTATAGAATAAATATCGAATATTTTATCACAAACATACGCAGCATTTCAAGGGTTAGCTGAGGACACAATCTGTGCCTGTGATACAAAAAAAATACCAAGAATTCAGTGCCATATACTCATGAAATCCATGCACTTACTGTACATACTATGAAGGTTAGATTATTTGTATGCCCCATCTGCAGCTGCTAGTGAGTTTCTAGCTTCTTCCAGGTAACTCAGTGTCATGTTTTATTGAGATGTCATGGTGTAGATCTAGGCTGTTCCTTGTCAGGTTGGCAACGCCTCCACTGTGCGTTCTCTGTTTGAAATTCCTGTGAATGGGATCTTGGCATAGAAAGCAAAAGCCAGTCTTATCTGTGACCAAATAGTTAGTCAAGACAAACATTGCATTTGATAGATGATAGATGGCATCGAATATAAATGATGACTCTTGGCCTGCTGCATACATGTCCTTATGTTGAGACTGATCACTGCAAAGGTGTGGGTTCAACGTGTTACAGGTCAGGAGATATGAAAGCAGTCATCTTTGGAACCAAAATGGAAATAAGAGCTTAGAGAAACTGGTCAAGCTTGCAGTTTCACACAGTTTAATGGATTTTTTTTTTTTTTTTTTGACGTTTTACAGTCCATGTCAACATTTTTTTGTGAAATTCATATTTATTTGAAGATGCATATTGTTGTGTAATTGTGAAATGTTACAAAGTATGTCTGTGAGAGAAAAGTAAAATAGGGTTTTATAGAAGTTTCTAGCATTTTTATCAAAAATGAAAGTGAGTTGTGAGATAATGACAGTTGTAAAGGTACGCTTTCCCCTGACTTTTTTTTTTGAGAATTCATTGTTTAAAAAAAATACATATGACAAGACCATATTTTCTTTTTTTTTGTTATTTTACAAAGGGGTCAAAACCAATTCAAAAGACTTGTAATGTGATAAAGTGACACACAAACTTGTATTATGAATGCAAATGTTATAGATCAAATGTATTTTTTTGGTTGTCATGCTTTTTGAGCCTACTCTTGGTACAGTATACAGTCTTCAGTTGGCATTCTGGATTATTTTAAAGCACAATATAATGGTACTGCATTTATATACAGCTTATCAAAAGCATCATTACAAATCAGTTACAAATCTCTGCACAATTTGAATATCTAATGCTTTTTGACTTACTAGTAGCACTCTGAAGAAAAACATATCTGTCTGTTTGTAGCTTGTACTGACGACATGCCAACCAAGGCTTGTATATAGTTAGAGCACTATTTTAAACTGTTATTCGCTGGAAGTTTTATGTAAGCATTTACTTATTTGTACAATGGTCAGAGTGATATTATTTTAGGATAAGTCTGTTAAGAGCACTGATTATACTGTATGTCTGCCTTGTTTTAAGGAAAACTGAAACCCTGTTGTCCAATGGCTTTTGCCTTGTAATGTAAAATTGTCAAAATGCTTTTGAGTTCTGAGAAGTAGTAACCAATCACATGTCAGAAATATGGTACAATGTTTTGGTACGTGCATTTTAAGAAACAGTAATTGTGGTACTTTTATTTAAAAAAACAAACAAAACATAATTATTCTCTAAATACTGTTGTTTGATGTTTATTTTCAAATTAACAGGGCCAATGTTTTCTCGCTGTAAATATATCTTTCACTGCTACAGTATCTCCCCGCTTTTGCAGAACAATTGGTGTCATCTGCTTCCACCCACATCAACATATTCCAGCATTAGAGTATCTCCAGCCTTAGTTCATGTTTCATTAGACATGCAGGAGCTTGTTGGTGGTTCAGACAAACAGAGGCAGCCCTTGCTGGCTGGTATTAGATTCATAAATGATATCAGTCATTTGAAATGCTGTTATATCTCTCGGCAACGCTACTGTGAAAGAGGTTTTTAAATGCAATCCGCTCCTAGTATTTTTTGAATGAAGATGTGGAAGTGAAGCCCTCAAAAAAATTATGTTAATTTCTGCAAAGAGGTAATTATCAGTGTTATTTACACTCCCACATGACCCTTTGAGTACATTGTTCCTACCGAGAGACATGGTTGTGTATCAGGGTGGTGCCATCATTTAGATAAAATGGTGTTCACAGAACGCTATAAATGTCCTCTAAGGAAATGATCTGCCAAAAGGGGATGCTTTAGTGCCAAATCTAATCAGGGCAACACACACACATTGTTAATAGATACTTACCTAAAATCACATTCTCTCTTGCTGTCTTGGTCATATAAACATGCCCATTTCCCTTCAGGGAATAGGGGTGTTGCGGGGGTTCAGAGATGCTCCTTCACTGCCTCTCCTTCAGCTCCACTACTCCTATAATGAGACCATTTGCCCCCCCCGCCCCCCCTACAAACCAGCAGACAACTCTATGGTGACACCCGCTTTTGATCACAGGGCAAAGCCTGTTTTGGCAGTTATGGCCACATCTGTTACTCCACTCTGTCCGGTTTCCATTCTCTGCATGTAAATATTTTATGACATGAATTGTTCTATTAAAAAATATATATAATAAATTGTGTCATTGTGTCTTTTTATTCAGTGGGGTGCTGTCATGTAGAGAGATTATAAGCTGCATATGATTTTGTAAAAAACATTACGTTTGACATTAATTAGGCCATTTGTCATATATATATTCGCACCACACTGGCTGATAATAACAATGTCTTCTGGTAAACTTGATTTATCAAAGCACAGTGAACTTGTTAATCAAGAGGGATACGCTTATCAGATTGGCTATCTTTTTTTTTCTCAGCGAACAGCAACTTGTGACACATTGTGTGATTACACTTTAGGTTTCTTTTTTAGGAGCTAAGCCACCTGACCGCTGTAATGTGCAGTGTTATAAAGAAGAGCATAGAATAAGGAACCATACAGCTGCTGAATCATTGTGATTACACTGTGACATTAAATAAAGGTATCACTGTAATTCTGGTAAGGTTGACCTAGGTTCACCCTTATAAATTAGCATTTTCATACATATTTATCTTGGTATTTGCATAACATGCATCTTAATTCAGCATTGTTTGTCCAAATTATCTAATGGGGCTGGTTTAGATTTGATTGGCTCTTGCCTGGACGATTGCATGATGTGCAGGGTTGATGTTGGAGCATGTTCACCCCAGAGCCTTTAGAAGAGAAAAAACTAGCATGTTTAAGTTATGAAAAACCCATACGAAATTAAATAACCTGTTGTGTTTACATTCGCAAAAACAAACCAGTGCAGTCTATTGCTTTCATTTTAGAACCAGATCATTTAGAAATCCGATTGCACCTGAAAAGTAGGCTACATACCCTGTAACAACTTGGTTATAGTATAAAACCTGTCTGTCTGGTAGAAGTTTTCCCTTCCTAAATTCCCTGCTATACCCTCTCCCTTCTCGTTTCCACTCCATCCTTGCGTCATTGTTTTGAATGGAGCATCCTCCCGGCTTGCGTTACCTTCAGTCGAGGAGAAGGGGGAGCGGTGGGGGCTTGTGGAGGCGTGTGCTTTGCAGACCAATTGCAGCCCGCCTAGGCCGCCGGACCGCACATGTTTACAGGCAGCATTCCGCCGGTAGAGGTTGTGCTCGGTCGGAGCCACACGCGGACTGGATACCACAATAGACGGAGCTGGAGTCACCTAACGGTCGTATTTTGAATCGTTTTCAACATCTACGGTGGGATGACGATGCATTGGGTCAAGTGAAGTGAAATTATTCGACGTATTTACTTTCATTCTTCTATGTCCGAGTCGTTCTTATCGCGAATACGCCGACAGTTTGTTAAATCGTGTACAAATGTCATTTCGGTTCCTGAATCTGAAGTTAGCCCGTGTTTTCCCGCCGTCTCCTGAGCTCGCAGGGAGCAGTGGGGAAAACAAACAGGTCGAACGGAGGAAGAGAGGTAGCCGGTTGGATGTGGAGGTTGTTTAGCGGCGAATGAATCGTTTTCATGTTGTTGGCATTTGTCGGTGCTAATTCAGAGTTCTCCTTCAGTTTTCGTTGATTTTGAATGCGGTGCATTTAGGACGCTGTTTGGAGTTTTCGCCCTCCGAGTATGTTGCCGCTTTCTAACATTTTGTCAGGGCTGTTGGAGCGCGTAGTCTACCCGCTGCGGTTTTGTGTTTTTCTCGACGTTGTTTACCGGTTGTAATTCGACGTTTAATGATTTAAATTCACCGGTTCGCCGGCCCCAACTTGAGTGAGACACTTTAAGACATGCATACGAGGCGTTTAGTGAAACGGTCGATCCTCGGCAGCCGCGTTTATGCGCCGAGTCCGACTGGGGACGGTGCCCCGGTGACAGGAGTGGTCCAGGCTGTCAAGCAGGAAAACAGAGACGTTTCGGCCGCGGGAACCCGGCGCAGCGTCTACACCGTGCTCATGCAAGACGGGAGCCTCAAGGAGTTCTCCGAGGAGGAGATAGCCGCTGGGTTCAACCACACTGCAACCAAAGGACCGCTGAAATTCAGCCTGAAGGTGTGTGTGTGTGAGAGAGCGTGTAAAGCGCCCGGCCGGCAGGCAGCGCTTCACTGTTTTTGTTGTGCGGTGTTTTGCAGCGTTTAACCGCTTCCTGCACGGAGCGGATTTAACAGTGCCACCGCTGCCGCTGCTTTTCCTGCTGATGGCAAATTTAACCAGCTGGGGACAAACCAGCGTCGCTCAGAATAGCTGTAATACAGATTTGGTTGCATATTGCATCAAATAGCGGGCTGTCATGACATTTGGCGACATTAGATATATGGGACAAAGGGCTTGATAGGGCCTGCGCAATGTTTATGTGGGCTAGTGGGTGGGTAAGCCGAGGCAAACAAACACGCTGTGACTGCAGCGTTTGGACTGATGGAAAGATCTGGTCCGACGTTTTTGCACATTGGCTTTTATGATAGATAATTTGTGCATCATGCCTTTAGTTACACATTTGCACTCAGAACGTGTTTTGGACATTTTCAATCGTAGGTGATGCAGCTTGACACCAAACTGATTAGTCAATTGCCTTTTGTGAAATAATTTGCACAACAAGGCTTTTATTGTTTAACAAAGGTTTAAAATAGTTCGTGTGGCCCTCTTGTGGCATTAGAGGCAGAATAGAAAGTTTCGATGATGTCCAAAATTGTGGTCGTGATATGGGCCCAATTAGCAGTGACCCAATTGCCTTCACATCCACGTTGTATGCTTTTGGTGTCACATGGCCTCAGATAAAGATTTTGTGAGGAAGAGAAGCTAACGCAGCCCTTGGATAAAAACATAGTTTCTGGCATAGGGGAAGTGTGTGTGTGTGTGTGTGTGTGTGTGTGTGTGTGTGTGTGTGTGTGTGTGTGTGTGTTTTCTGTCCTTTTTATAGTGAGGGAGTGACTGAGGAATGCATGTGACTGAATAACGGCTTGTTTATGGTCTGATTTTGATTTATTTTGACGGTGTGGTTTTGTGCCTCCTTGCATACTTGTATGCGTGTTGTGCTTTGATATGTTATTGATAAAGTTACTTATAGGCTGTAATCTTATTTGTTATAAAAATATATTTTTCATAATGTTTGGCCATTGTTTGTTACCACACACATTTCACATTTCCTTTATGTAGATGTGAGATATAGGGTTGGTGTATATTTACAGATACAGCAGCAACACTCAAATTCAACTCCACTGTCCAAAATGCTTGTAATCTTAAAGTTGTAAACCGTTATTTAAAACTTCACACAGACATGTCAAATCATAACTAAGTGGAATGCAAAAGCACTGCGTGGAGACCTGTCAGAGCTTTTAGTGATTAGAGATGCAGTATAAACTTTGGTCGTCTTGTTTTGCATTTGAACATTTTGTGTATGCAGTGCTGCACTACACAAAAGCTGTTGCACAATACTGTTACAGTCAGCGGTGCAGACTGGAGTAGTGCAGCTGAGGCTGAGAGCGTGGTCCCGTCAGCACAATGGTCAAGTCTCTTTCAGCACGACTCAATTCCTGCTGTGGTCGAAAACAAGCCATAAAATGAGGAGGAGGGGTCTGCTGTGTGTGTGTGTGTGTGTGTGTGTGTAATTGTGTGTGTGCATACATTTATATGTCTGTGTTGCTTTTTGTGTGCATGCGTGTGTAATAGCATAGATGTGCTTTCTCCCACATGTACATTTGTATGTTTAATGAGTAAGAGCTGACTACTATACATTTTGGAGTGGGGTTGTTTGTGAGGGTATACTGTCCCATTTGAGTTGCAGCTGTACAGCCAACAAAGCTGGCTCCCCCAGGTTGGCAACGGGTGGCATGCTCCAAAGAAGCTGGATGCTTGGCTCATTGCCCGGTATGGCAAACGATTGCCCCCTATTCTTGGGTAGGGGGTGGGGGCATCAGGATGCCACTTGTTGACTTGTTGGTTTGTTCAAGTGTGTGTTGTTTGCGTGTGAGTAGTGTTACAAAGGTTTCTCACTGCTAGTAAAGAGGCATTACTTGTTTTTGTTTTGCTGGCGCTTTTGTTGTCCTCGCTGTTGTTCACGTTGCTCGTATGCAGACGTGGGATTCAGTGAAGCAAGCTTGTTGACAGGAGCTGAGTGACTCTTTGTTCTGAAGCTGCGATTCCAGGCAGACCGGCGTCGGCTGTCCTCATTGGTTGACTGAGCAGCATGAGCGTGAAGCACAGTGACCACAGGGTCAAGTCTGGATGCTGCTGCTGCCCCTGCAATGGTGTATGAGTAATCCTTTAGGGTAATGGAGGTGTATATGTTCAACTATGTGTTATGTGTGCTATGAACACACAGATTTCAAATCCCTTTTTCCTTAATCTTGTGCTTGTGCGTGTCCTTTAAAAGTATTTCTGTCTTGGAAAATGACTCTGCAGAACTTCTTCTATTTCACTTAAAAGAGACAAAGTTAGGGCAGAATATCTAATTGTGGTTTTTCTGACCAGTATTGCAACTGCAATTTCAATGATGATCATTTTCTAACCTTCAGGCCTGTGTATTGAACAAGATATGTTTGTACCAAGTATCATCACAAATCTATCTTTCATCTATTCAGAAAAGTAAACTTATAAGTGAATTAGCAAGTTTTTCATTAGCAATACCTACACCAGTTTAGCCCAAGTTTAGTAACATGTTGCATTGGTAGTATACTTGACATTAACAGTATTTAAATATAATCAGGACTTAACAACATTAGTTTCTGTTAGTTTGGGTAATTCATGGAATTTTGTTTAAGTTATGTTTAAAATTGCAACTCTCATGGCTTGAAAATGACACTTTCTAAAGGCAATTAGTTGTTCAGCTCTAGACTAACTCATGTTATATAGGAAAATCTTATGTTATATTGTGTCGATGCAGTGTTAAACTATCAATTAATCATTAATATCTTTATTCATGATCATATCCACTAGATGCTCCAATGCAGATACTTCCTAGGGACAAAGAACCACACGAGCTAAAAGACACAGTCTGTTGGTATTTTATGACATTCGGTCCAGGTCTGGGATCAAATTTATGGTCCATGTCAGCTTTGCTTTATTATGAACTTTGACCCATAAAGGTATGAGAATCTTTAAACTATTGCTCAAAGCAAGTAGATTATAAGTTTCTCAGAGTGTGCTTGTGTGTGGGAGAGAGGAGAATGAGAGATAAAGAAAGGGGGGATATCAACTACATTTGGGGTATTTGTTCTGTTCATGTGTGCACACACACACACACACACACATAGACACACACACAAACACACACACACACACATAGACACCAGCTTTGACACATGCAACTCACATTTCACAACCGATTTGGTATGCTTCACAATTTCCTGGCTCCGTGAAATGCCATCATTCATAAGCCTGGTGAAAGGAAGGAATTGCCGTTGGTTTTATCCGAGAGGTACACTCGTCATACACACAACACCTAATCTTCCCCGAGCCTGTGTAATCCATCTTGTTGTTTTACTCAAGTCTGTGTTTTCACAGAGCGTTTTGCGCACCACTGAGCGTTCATGCAACCAGCCTCTGTCATGAGCGGTACTCGATACTCATTTCACGTGTTTTTCTTTTACCTCATTAATCTAAGTGAATTGTTCTGTTGGTGTTGGTGTTTGTGTTTGTGTGTGCGTGTGTGCGTGTGTGCGTGTGTGCGTGTGTGCGTGTGTGTGTGTGTGTGTGTGTGTGAGAGTTATTGAGTCAGGTGCCATTGCCTTTTCCACAGTCAAGCCTAATCGTGTTACAGTGCTTTGAGATAATGATCTAGATCACACACTCACACATAGAAACACACACACTGGCCAGCCTGTCATAGCCATCAATGCTCCATTGGCGTGGGCAGCCGTGTGTGTCACTCTGGCTGTGTTTTGGCCTTTTCTCAGTGTGTTTCTAAGAGCCTGATGGCTTTAGTTACCTACAGAGATGTGTGTGTGTGTGTGTTGGTGTGTGCGTAGGTGCATGCAGGTATTCATGTGCAGAAGCATGCTGTTCGTTGCTGTTGTGTAAGAGAAGAGATGATGTTGGGCTGTTTTTTTTTTCTTTTTCTTTTTTTTCTCTTTTTTATACATTGCTACAGGTAGGCGTTTTCAGAGTATTGTGATGGAAAAATGATTTATTTTGTGATTATGTGTAAGTAAGTAGTTTACGATGGTAAGTGTGTTGTCTTGTGTAATGTAATCTTTCTGTATGCAGTATTTTTGCATGTTTATTTGTGTTTGGGTGTGTTGTTACATGTGATTTTCAGGGCAGAAGAACCGTCTGTGTGTGTGTATTATATGGATTGACTGTCTGACCAGAGAAGTTTACTTGAAGGGCTAAAACTCTCTAACATAAGAGGCAAGACTGGACGCTAGGAAGATGTTTCCTAGTGTCCAGTCTTCTTCTTCCTCGCCTTCCTTGGTGTATTGCTGCGCTTCTTTGTGTGTTATTGCAACAAACTGTCCATCAATGGAATAGCACTGTATGTATTGCATGTTGTGTATCGCAGCACCCGTGTACTAATGCACAATCCAAACAAAATGGCGTCCCACCAATAAAAAACATTGCTGCCTAGTATGGCTGCACAGTATACAAAAAAATCATATTGGGATTATTTTGGCAGATACTACGATTGCGATTTCAGTTGGAATGGTTGTTTTTGCATTTCATTTTCACAGAACAAAATATAAAAATGATGATGATGTGATTTTTGTTGGCTCTTGTACTAAACAAACATGTTTGGAGAATACAATTTGCAGGCTGGGGCGTCTCTGTAGCACCACAACGCTGATGGTGCTAACAATACACAACAATGTTGTGACACTTTTTACCTTTATCAAAATAATTGCAGCTCCTGCGATTTGGATATTGCACTTAGCTAATTAGCTATTTCAATTTTAATTATATTTCAAATAATTGTGCAGCCCTACTGCCTAGTAACATTAGTCGTCAAAAGCTCCACAGGGTGCCTTTAAGTAATGGAGAAATGAGCCCTCCTGTAATGTCCCGTGTCCTTAGTGACACTTGTGGCACATGATTGATAATAGGAATGATTTTATCAGTTTCTAAAGTTTTTAAACTTCTACGATTTGAACAAATACCACCATCAAGAAAGGTCTTTATATGCAGAAATGCATAGTTTTGTGTATAAGTGATTTTTATTCATGGAAAGGCAGTTTTGGAGAATTCTCAACAGTGTCTTGTGATTGTCAGTTTAAAAAACCTCATCATTAAAATTGCTACAGGAAAAATAGAAAATAGGGTTGTTTTATAACTGACCACTGCACATTTTAGGTTAATCTATTTTGGAAAGGCTTTTTTAGGTGCAAAAGGCTCAATTTATTTTTCTTCTCTACCATATTTGGACCATGTACTCCTTCATTTGAAAAGTGTAAACATGAAACTTTGGGTTTCAGGATTTCAACAGCCAGATCCAGAGCCCAGAGCCTGGCTTGCCTAACTGATGCTGTGCTGAAAAACTGTTTCAGTTTATAATTGTTTCCATGCACCGTAATATGTCTGTGTATTTAGGCAATTTAAATGGGCAAATTGTATGACATGTTCATCACCCTAGGCCTTTACAAAAGGAGTTTTGTTTCTGTACTTGGCACCACTCTCCATCAGTGTTGTTCATGGCTCATCATTGCTACTAACTTGTGTATGTGTTTCTCTAACCGAGCATTTACTTTTTCCTCTTTGCATCCCTTTCCAACAGAGCTCTAGTAATGGAGCTCCACAGGGCCACAAGGTGGAGGGCGGTTCCCTCAGCCCAGAGGTAGTGGAGGAGCAGCGGTTGGCAGACAGCAAGCGTGTTGGCCGGGACCCTGACACCCGATCAGTGTCCCTGCTGGAGCAGAAACGCAAAGTGGTCTCCTCCAGCATTGATGTCCCTCACGCCAGGTAGGACTGTGTGTGTGTGTGTGTGTGTGTGTGTGTGTGTGTGTGTGTGTGTGTGTGTGTGTGTGTGTGTGTGTGTGTGTGTGTGTGTGTGTGTGTGTGTGTGTGTGTGCCTGTTCTTTGACAGTGAGAGTCTGATTCCTGTCCTAGAGGGAGTTTGGCTTGAGGTCATACATGCAGAGTTCATTGAAGGTATATGGCACAGATATGTCATCTCAAAAATAGGACTGAGTTTATGTGGGCTGACATCCCATTTTTGGCAGCCCACTGAATGCAATGCCATTTGACAGGAATCCACTTTTACTCCAGTACATATGTATATTTTATCATATGCCATCATACATGTCACACTTCACGTGTCAGTGCTAAATATTGAAGGGTTGGAGCGAAATGTCATTTCAATCCCATGTTGTTGCCTTAACTTTCTCAAGCAATTATGGTTATGGGTAAATTACATGCCTCTGGTGGTTTCCAAAATTGTAGAAGTGGTGCAACATGGATTCAAGGCCATGAGAGTCAACTAACATAGTTAATTACATCAGTTACCCTCTTGTGTGTGTTTCCTGCTTGACAGCAAAGATACTTTAGACTTATACATACTGTGGCCTTACAGCCAAGATAGACACTAGAACAAATATGCTTGAAATTTTTGTGGGAGAACAGCTATTGCTTTCATGTTTTATTGAAATTGGGGTACATTCCTCACACTTTAAGTGACTCTCTTTACAACACACACACACACACATACATACATACATACATACATACATACTCATACAAACACGCACATGCACACAGACAAATATTATTTTAAGATGGTCAGCATAATCCACCACTGATGCTGGTCCACCACAGGACTATTAAACTTTAATAGGCAGCACTGCACGGCAGTGAAGTGCCAATCTAATAAAGAAACAACACTCTTTCACTATTAAATGTGAAACACTAATATCTTGTAAAGCTCTGCACAGTTATCGAACATCACTCCCCATTACTTGTCTCTTGCTGCTGGAAGAGTCCAATCGATGGCAACTTGCTGAAAAGTACAGTAAAAGTCATCCATTGGAGCAGCTTTATCACTGCATCCTGAGCCCTGCTTTAAATTTAATAGTTATTTGTTGATGAATCATTGATTTGGTTCTCTCTTGTTTCCCATTAAGAGGAAAAATGTCTTTTTAAATTCAATCTATCACATGGATTAGACAGAAGTTTTACACCTGTCCCTCTATAATTACCTCCTTGCATAGGGATTGCAATAATATTGATATTTATATGGTTATTGTGGAATGGCTTATTGATTATCTCATTGCCCTTGCACAAGTTCAGCTTGTTGCCTCAGCGCAGGGACGACCACTTTATAAGCCAAGTTCCTGTTTATTCCCCTAATGAGACCAAGGAGCATCAAGAAAGCCATGGGGAATGTCTTATAAATCAGAATTTACCCTCATCGTACAGCAATCCGGATATAACGATTAGGGGAAAGCATGACCTTTAGAATGAGTCACATCTTTTCAGTTAACAGTACCGGCAGATGCTTCCAAAATTTCAAGAACACACCCAAGCTGTGTTCCTGGCCAAAATTCCAACAAGAATGTGCCAGAGTTTGCTGTGTTTTTATTTAGCCTGCCCGGGCATCTTTGAAGCATTAAAAGTGAAAGAATTATCAGCAGTAGTCCTCCCATAAGTAAAAACAACCAAATATAAAGGTTAAATTTACTTTTGGTGAGAAACTCTCGATGTTTCAATAGTGTGCTAAGCTTTATCTTCCTTTGTCTGTGCCTCCACCTTAGGAATTAAGTCATCTCTTTCCAGGCAAGAGAAGGCCATGTGTTGGTAGGACACCTTTTGCACGATCAAGACATCCTGGAAAGTGTGTGTGGTTGTATGCGCTCCATGTATAATTTCTGCAAATGTTACAAAGTGTTTGTATATAGCTTCTCTAAAAATAGTCATTTTTTAAGATTCTGCATTTATTTAAAGGTTACTGTGTAGAGAGACACAAGAAACATGGGGAGAGAGAGAAGGGCATGGCCTGCAACAAAGGTCCCATAATCTAGTTTCGGTAACTGAGATTAAAAACTGGTGTGTAGTAAGGTTTCTGTAGAAGTAAAGTGTCACATTTAACTCCCTTCTTACATTTTTTCTACTTTGAAAAATCCTCATAGTTGAAGTTCAGGGAGTTCATCCCTTCTTAATGTCAAAGACGTTTTTCATGTCTTAATGAAAAGTCCCAGTTTTTAGCCAACAGCATAGACTTGACATCTAATTATTTTGTGTGTAGCACTTCAAAGCCTGGTACCCAAAATCCAAAGATCTATTGTGCTTGTCAAGTGCTAAATCAAACTCACTGCAAAACCAGACTTTAAAAAAAATCAATTTCAGCCCAATTTTTAGTGCGCTTGCACAATCAAGAACATGAAAAGTTCATTCTTGCCACATCTTAAGAGCAGGTAGGAGTCTGAGCTCTTTTCTCAGATATCTCTATAGTGACCTCTTCAGTGCACAGCACCATTATTGCCTTAAGATTAAGATCCATGGCTCTCATCCTCTGCACACCCGCGACCGATTTTCAGGCCTGCTCCAGCCCCAGGGAAGAAATGGTGTCACCACCGACCACAAAGTACCGTTTATCTGTGTTGGAGACAAGAGGGGAGAAGGAGGGAGGCAGGATGCTTGGAGGGATGGTGGAAAGGGGACAAGGCAGTAACAAGGGGTGAAGGAAATGTGCGCATGTGTGTAGAGAAGGACAGGGGGGTAAAGGAGATGGAGAGAGCATGTGTAAGAGTGTGTAACAGTAAAGATAACGGCAAAAGAGAGAGGAGAGAGAGAATGCCTGAGGATTTTTTTCAGAGCTAACTCTCCAGAGAAGTCTGACCTTGAGGTTGTTAATTGCACTCTGAAAAGTTCCCTCTCTGCTGGTGATTTACCAAGAAAATGTCGGGCTGTTTGATGGCTCTCCAGGTCCCTTGTAACCCAGATACAATAGGTTTCCTACCTCACTGGGAGTCACTGAAGTACCCCAATGCCTCATCTGCAATCATTGGGAAAATAGAGGAAAAATGACAGTGTGCTGTATAGATGTTAGGCCTCGGGGGTTTTTTGTAGCTACATTTCATGGGTCTGTCAGCCGGTCCAGCTCTCATTACTTTATTGAGTAGATTCCTTCATCGTATTTGTTTACAGAACATTTACTTCACCCGCATTTTGTCAGATCTTGCGCCAAAAATCAATAGGTGTCATTCGATGATTGACCTATTTTCTGCATTGGCCCAACTCCCAAATGCCCAAAGAAATGGTTTCCTTTATGAAGCATTTTTAAATGTGCGTCTCAAAATACAGAGGCAAGTATTGCTCGCTGTGGCAGATTTCTGATTTGTTTACGCCGTACTTATTGTGTGATTCTCTTTTTACTGAATGCTCAGACATCTCTTCTCATTGTCAGAGTGTGGTCTTAGCCAGCTGCTGGGCCTGCTCCTTCCTCCAAGGGCTTATGTTTTCTCTATGCAGGAAACAGTCAATTGTAACAAGAGCTGGCGGGGGCAGACCAGTGGAAACGAATGACTTGGCTTTTGACAAATAGCATTCTGGAGACTAATTGCTAGCAGGGGAAGTGAAGTATAACCTTAGTTGAAGGGGAAATCAAGAGACTGCTCTGCTTATTATTGCAAAACCCAAAAACAACAGATCTGGGGGTTCAAATCCTCTCCTGCTCAGATCGCCAACAGTCAGCACTCCCTTTCTAGCGTGAACCAAGTTTACTCATGTTTCTTAAAATAACTGGAACCCTTGCTGGCCCTTCACAATGTTATATTTGTTTCCTTTTTATATCCAAGCTCGACACAATGACCAGATTTAATTTGATTTATGGTAACTGATCATTTCATGTAGCTGTAAATTAAAGCAAGGAAGCTGGTGTGGGTGAGTGGGACAAACTTCAAAACCTAATTCGACGCCAAAACAAAACAGTTTATTGTTGTTGATCATTTTTATTGTTGACACATTGCTGAGCAAGCCATGTGTTCCACGCTCTGAGCTTTGTGCATCAGCCAACTCAGACAAGGAAGGGGGCTAAAGACTCCACATCCTGTGCAAAAAGAAGTCCAAAGGGACTGTCAGATTATTATTTGGCTTTTGATAAAGTGACATGGCTCTGTAACCTGCCTATTTTCCTTCTGCTAGTGGGTTTGTTTGTCTTTATGGTCATTCTTACCTTTTTGGAACACTGTTATTGCTCTTACTCCTTTTTGCACAATGTGTTTGTGTTTGTGGCGAAGGAGGGCGTTTGAGTTTCGAAAAAAGAGAAAGGAGGGGAGGGCGGGGCGTGTGCATGAGAGCAGTGTGGGTTCGGCAGAAAGCAAGTGACAGAGAGCGAGTGAGAAAGATGCTCAGCATTTTCCAAAGAAAACAGTTTTCCTGGTTTAGATGCCAGTGGAGTTCAGAAACCATGTGATTACCATCTGAAAAGACAGCTCTCATGAGCTCTCTCGCTCTCTCTCTCTTTTTTTCCTCTCATTCACTGCCTCGCTCTCCCAGTCTCAATGCACTGCTATCTGATTGAACACTGAGGTTTTTGCGGCAACAAATTGCTTGACCAAACCAATTGTGTTAAGTATTCTGTTAAATTTTATCAGATGGGCCTAACTACACAAAGCTAAAAATATCAGAAACAGAAATGTGCTTGTATATATATAAAGAGGACATTGCCCAACATGTTTAATAGAGGGCTCTTGTTTTTGAGCCACGATGGCTCACCAAATTCAAAACATTATGGGATTTGTCATAATGACAAATTTAGCAGGTAGTGTTTTTTAAGCAGAATGGCAAACAATTGTTCTTAAAACAAATGGAAACATCACATTTGGTTCCAATTGGTGCATGCTGTTTATTTGAATCTTTCTTAATTTTTACACTGTATTAATTGGTCCTTCTAATACTGTAATCTTTGGTATAGTGTGCAAAATCTAAATAATGACCAGATACTGTACACATTTATTAAAAGAATC